GACCAGTTTGTAGGGTCAAGTTTGCATGCTGCTCCAATTGAACGAAAATTGGGAACTCCTGTCGTTTGCAATAAAACGCAAGTCGTCTTTCTCTCAGCTACAAGTTTGTTGCCTTCTTTAATTGTCTTCCTAGGCCATTCTTGCTCCTTCAATTTCAGAAACGCTGGTCCCTGCCACCATAATTCGCTTTCTTTTACACCTTGAGAACACAAATCGGCTGGATTATCTTTGGTATGAATGTACTGCCACTGCTCAGGATTTGTTTGACTCTGAATCTCGCCAATTCTGTTAGCCACAAAGGATCAAAACTGTCTTCCTTTACCTCGTATCCAATAGAGAACAAATCTGTCGCTGCTTCCAATAAGGGCATACCAAGTGAACGTGTTATGGATATAGTCAAGCGAAGCCCAAGAACCGCGGCCAGTAACCCTAACCGAGGAATACTGATCGGTGTGAGAGGAGATACTTGTGTCTTCAAAGCTATGATTGTGACTTTTACACTTTCGGATTTTTCACTGTAAGCAATTCTAAAGTAACTGACAGCTTCATAGGCATCATTCAACGTGTCAACAAAGGTAAGGATCATCACTGACTTTGCATGAAGTGAATCTTGAAGACTTCAAGGTACAGTGATCGTTTGGAGGAATTCGAGTTCGGCGAACCAGGCTGTAATTCTGCTGTAGATGCCTGCATCAATGGCATCATCCCAGCTCAAACCCTTAGACCACAACTCTTGGAGAATAATTTTCACTCAAACGATGAAGGGAGAAAGAAATCCCAAGGGATCAAAGATCGTCGCCACTTTACTTAGGATCGTCCTTTTTGTAAGTGGAGTCATAATTGGTCAATTTGACATTCGGAAGGAGAAAACATCGGACGACGCCAACCACAACACGCCCAAGGTTTTAGTTGAAGGGAGATTATGCCGTTCCAAATCGACCTCAACGGCACAATGCTCTTTTGGAATAATTTCGAGCACAGCTGCTGAATTAGATAGTCACTTTCGCGGTTGCATTCCAGCTCTTCCCACAGATCAACAAGCTGTCGATACAACTCAATGGCAGTTTCCTCAGTCTTGACAGAGTCCAATGAGTCATCCATATAGGTAGACTTTTTTACTGTCTCGGCAGCAAGTGGAAACTTCTTTTTGTGGATTTCAGCATTCTCTTGAGATACGAATTGGGCTCTGAATGGAGCAGATGCGTCTCCAAAAACTGTCCTTTCAAATTCATATACATCGGGTTTTCTTTGTGTCTCTAAATTACCCCAAAGAAAGCGAAAGAAAGAGCGATCCTCCGGAGAATACAGATTTGTAAATACATTTCTTTAGTGTCGGACACCACAGCAACAGGATACCGACGAAAGCGCATGAGAACGTCAAAAAAGTCATTCTGTAACTTAGGACCAGGCAAGATTTGATCGTTTAACGAAGTTCCTCGATATTTAGCACTTGTATCAAAGACAATTCGTGTTTTTGTCTTGCCTTGTCAGGTCAGATCACTGGGAAGTGAGGAAGGTACCACACCTTTCCTTCTGATATTATTTCTTCTGATATTTCTACTCTGCGAATGTATCCTAGAGACACAATTTCAATTGGATCATCTTATATTTGAAGGCTCGTCGGAATCGTCGACTATGGTTGAAAATGCCGCCCAAAAATATTCAAACTTGGTTTTGTGCCCACAAAATTTCGGTATTTTCACACGCTCCATTTTACGATCAGTTACACCATACGCTTCTGTACTCGTTATGGTTCTGGTATCACCACCTGGAAACCGATCAGATATAGGGAAGTGTTCGTCTCTTTTCGAAAATATTTGATTAAGGTTATCATTGTATCTCAACTTCGGGCTTTTTTAACTCCTATATTCTTGCATGAGACTTCCATCTAATGCTCTTGCATGCGTCTGATCTGGGCAGGATTCTACAACGTCAGCTTGATTTTTCTGTCTTTTCTCGTTTCAAAATTCTGATGATCTGAGTTCATCTCGCTTTTCTCCATTCAATAATTCTACTGTTGCCCTTCTATGGTGGCCCAATGT